AATATAAAATAAAAACATAATGTAAAACAACATATCATTTTTGGCCCTTTTCTTGGTTATAGTGTAAAAAGCATAGAGCTATATGAAATGACTACATGTAGAGTGCAAACTCATTATTCCTCGAATGGAGAAGCTTTGACACCTCCAGGGTACAAACAATTTATGTGCGTAGAACATGGAACGAATTATGAATTTTGTACCCTAAATGTAACACAAGAACAGCATTCGCAAATGATATACATCTCATTCAGTTAGCAAGCATCTGCTGTGTATATGTGTTTGCATTGTGTACACTGAGCAAAACCAAATGCTCATTTACTGATTCAGGTTTTTGGTGTATTCCTTTTGTTTATGAATCATTTTAAAATGCAGATGCATATGCATGTAGCTGTGAAAAAAATGTAAAAAATCTCACATTTTCTGTAGGTTTGTGCATCAACATGGATGCAGGCTCTGCTTTGTACAGCAAGTCAGTGCTCTAGTAACTCTATGGTACAAAGCATGTTCAAGTACATATTTATGTAGGTCTGAAGTATGCCCACCTGGAAGCTTTACCACAGTTTCAGGACACAGAGAGGGTAATTCCTTACACCTCTTTTCATGGCTAATGTCCCCCAATGACTCCAGTATACCCACTCCAATAGCCTGGGAGTTTGGTTAATGACTAATATTAATCTGAAAAATGGGCTGCCCTATTTACCACTACAAACCACTAAGATTTCATTTGGCCCATGTAAATGTATGTATTCGGAATTAGCTTTGAATTCAAAGACAAGCGTACCTTTTATAAGGAAAGATGATTTTTTGTACTCTTATGTACATCACTTATTTCCTCCTAATTTTAAGTCCTTATTATCAAGGTTCACAACACTGATAATGTTAACTTGTAATACAAAGTAAATTTGTGAAAAAATCTGTGAAATTTTTGGAATGTATGTTTTCAATGTGGCTATTCCCACATGTGTATAGTATTTCATACTGGTAGTTGTCAAAATCGTGATGTTCCCAATTGGAGTGTGCAATCATTACATATTTCCTTGGAGTCTGCACTTACAAGGTACCATACAAATGTTTTCACCAAGACAGCCTTGTGGTACTCTGTGCCTAGGAAAGAGTTAATGCTTCTGTAATTTTTGATATCATAAATGTTCATCAAATTGTTGACAGAATTTCATTTTCATTCCTCATGGAATATTTGTTGGTTTACAAGGATGAATTAGACTTGTGAAAACCAGCCATCGTCACTCAAATGTCATTGTTTATAGATATATTATTAGTCTTCTATTTATCTCTCTCCATTTTCTTTAATACATTAACTATCCTCACAGTACTATCAATTTCCTTTGTATGGAGGTGCAAATGGGTTAATTTACTGTAATTTTCTTGTATGATGTGTTTTTCTTTTTACATCTTGATGTTACTTTTGGCTTTTCAGCCTTGTATTACACGCTTTACATGTTTAGGTATTTTGAATTGTGTTCGTTGTATCTATTCATGTATAATACACTACTCAAAAAAAAGTTAAGGACCCCTTTTCTCATAACTTGTAATTTTTTTTCAAGCAGTGAGTGGGGTCTAGTTTTTTCATGTCTTGTCTAGGTAGTGTTCTTATTTGAATAAAAAATTTAACAAATATTTCAAAACATCAAATGCACATTTTCAGCAGTAAAATATCTCATATGAAAAAAGTTCACACAAAATAAAAAGTGGTCCTTAACTTTGTTTGAGTAGTGTACAATTTAGGATCTTCTAAATGGTACAGGTGCACTGGGTAGTGTGTGTTTGTCATACTTATGCACTGCATGTGAATTGTTTACTTTTTGTAGCTTTGCTAAGTGTTACTGGCAAATGCTGTAAGTGCTAAGCTAATTTTACCAAGGCTTATCAAGAATAATTAATTTTGTTATTGTTTTTGTTATTTAACTTTCCAATTCCGGTCTGTAATGTGATATGTATGTATTAAATATTGCACAAGGTGATGCTTATAGTGGCCAAAACATGTCATACTATGCTGGTTTGTGGAAAAATAGGTTGAATTCTTTCTCGCAATGTTTAAGCCACCGTTATCAAATTTTACAGAGAGAATAAAAAAATAAAGAGCTGTTTTCTTTCCTTTTCTGACTTTCACAGACATCACTGTTCCCTTATAGATGCAGAAATGAAGCTTGGTAACCCTTCTGTCATTAGAAACCCCGAATGACGGTCCATTTTAATTAGTTAGTGAAGCAATAAAATAAAAGTTCCATGTCAGAAACATGATCCCTTTGTGTCTAGTATGTCAGAAGTCAGTTACTAACATCTGCAGCATTTTTATTGAATTAAAATACGGGTTTCACTTTAGACAATGACAGAAAGTCTAGCTATCATAGATTGCTCACAACAAACAAAATTATTTGAAGTACATTTTTTATAAATGTTTGGATCCAAATTTCAATTTGATGATAGATTACCCATTCAAAAGGTTAAGAAACAAATGACTTTCAAACAGAAAATTTCTGAAATCTTGTTTGATTTGCCAATTTCTGTCAAGGCTAAATATTTAAATTGCTGATAAACGTTCATGCTTGTCTTTCATACTCACATTTAATTCAACTTCAATAGAGAGTGCTCTTTTTACCACCACCCAAAACTAAACGATGTGTTACAAAACTTAGCGCAAAGGAAAAGATAACCACTATTTAGTAACAATTATTGCCAAGTTGGGCCCCTGTCTTTGACTCAATCAAGGATCCAGGTGTATAGCTGACTATTGCTACAGACTTGCATTAATTTATTGTCCCTTGTAGGCTTCCTGGTAAGTATAGTTATGTGAAATGGAATGTAGAACAACTGGTGTAGGTGTAAAAAGGTACAGAAGTAGGCTATTGTATTGAAGTAGATTATACAGAAGTTCACAATACTGAAGTTGACAATATGGAGTTAACTGAACCGAGGTTTACCACATAGCATACTAAGTTGGAGTATTTGCTGAAAATAAAATATGCAATATAAGCTAATGCAATATAAAATATAAGGGATTGAAAGTACAAAGAAGTAAACAATTAGTTATTAAACTGTAAGATAAAATAAAATGAAGAAAAACTTTACTTACTACACTGGGGGTGTTGCCTAACAACTAGTTGAACCATGGTTGAACAAAGCATTTAAAGTAAGAAAATACAACAGAGCATACATGTACAAATAAAGGTGAGATGTGTATAGCTTGGTCACTCTCAATGAACGAAGAAGTGTTGCACAAACTGTGGCCAAAACACAGCAGGGTCCTTGTAGGGGAGAATTTAATACCCTAGGGGAACATTTTGGTCAGCAAGAATAAGGGGAGTTTATTTTAAGTACAGCCATGGTACAGCCACCCAGGCCAGAAAGGAATGTGGGGCAGGAGGCAAAGTCGTCATTAAGGATTTTGGTATCTTCAACAAAAATGTACATGTTCTAAGCTAAATATATGCAATCGAAATAAACATTGTAATTTAGACAGGATTATTAAATGGTACTCAAGAACTAACATTAATGGTTAATACAATACACAATGTGGAAACCAATATCAATTCGGTACTGTTTTTAAATAAAACTACTGTTGCCCACACTTCACAACCATCGTGCAAATAGCGTTTCCCAAGTGTCACACTTGTATTTTGTGCATGTAAATGATGACAGCCAGAACTTAGTTGGAGTACCCATTAATTTCAAAGTCATCAAATGAGACTGTTCATTGCACGAACCTGGAATGTACGGAACGGCATTTGTTTATAAATTTGTTCATAAGTAAATCCCCCGGGCCAAGAGTCCCTCTATCACCAGCCCTGACAGTCCTCACCTGAATACATCTTTCGCCTCATGTTAGTTGGCATTTAAATATTTTCCCTGCAAGACAAGGGGGCCATACGTACTATACTATAAACGGCAATCTCGTGCGCACAGGAAAAATCACGATTATGAAGTCTTTATACAGAGCATTAAAAATCCCACTTAGATTAGAAACTAATAGCAAAAACGATTTTATTGGATTTTCTGAAGAAAAAAATGAACAAAGCCAGAAAACCTGAGAGAAAATGATCATCAAAGTTGCGCACCCCTGTGGCCCGCCCACACTTCTTGCCGCTAAGGCCATTTGTACGCATGCGTACCCAATTATGAATTTATTAGTGACAGGCGGATGTTGATGATCTTACCAAAGAAAAAGAAAATTGGATAGTCGATTTGAGAAAGGCTGCCGTCTCCGGCCATCTTCATGGGCTGATCGAAGGGGCCTATGAAGCTTCCAAAGGAGTCAGTTTTTTCTTCTTGTTTTAGTACTTAATAATGAGAGAAAGGCAGTGCCGTAAATTTGTGGTAGAAAGTCAAGTGGGGGAGATGGGGGGTGGGGACTACTTAGGTGGAGGATGACTTGCCCGGCCATGGAAATTTGAAAAGCGGAGGGGACACCATATAAACTATATAGGGGGCGAGGTTCATGATAAAAATGTTCATCTGTAATGTGTATGAAATTCATGCAGAATCTTACATCAAAATGGTATATTTATGGCTTTTAGAAATTGCTTTCCCTGTTTAGTGATATTGCAAACATTTTAGTCTTGGAAAATCTTGAGAATTCTTCACAATCCACTTTGAATGTTTTGCTCGTCACAAAAATAATGCGGGGATAGCCACCCCATCCCCAAAAATGGGGGAATATATACCCCACCCCTTCTTCCTCCCATTGTGTCAAATCCTGGGAGAAAGGCGATTTTACTTTTGGTCTATGTCCCAGCTATCGCGGTGGACAATCCCCCCCCCTTCTGGAGGTAGCTGACCCCCTCCCCTCCTGCTTTTCACTTTTCTATTGTTATTTTCATTACACGATTTCATTTCCCCTCAGATCACTTTCATCCCTATCCCCTAACTTTTAGAATTTGGCACCGCAAACGTCCTCATGTGCCTCGCCTCTTGGTTGCTGTACTTGCGCCCTCATCAGTCGTTTCTCCACGTTAAAGCGCTTGATGATCTGACAGCTCGTTGTGTACGTGTACGCACATTAATGATATCCGCTTTCAATTCCCTGCCACATTAGCGCTGCATGCCATGTGCCTGTTGTCAGCGTTGTCGAGATGACATTTCGGATGAGAAAGTGGCATACGTACATGAACGTTCGTGAATTAGATTAGCTTTATTTTGGGAGAGACATAACCGTATCCATGATCCCGAATTTTACTGCAGGCCTACATCAGAGTACATGTAAATTGGATGTTTTGCATCATGCAAAACATACATGTATACAGGTAGCAATGAGTAGTAGTAGTAGTACTATACGGTATACCCACCGTAGGCTACACATCGTTCCAAGCTATAAGTGCATGATGGTTTCAGACGTACACTGCCATAGGCATATTAATGAAAGCAGCTGGCAGTATTGATTTTTAATTATAATGTTAAAACCCATTCTCTCGGTCGGAGATTGTTCTATTTATTGCACTTGCGTCTGGGCAAAGGGCTTTCCATTCGCTTGGTACAGGGATTTGCATGTTTTCCTCCTTTTTTGCTGCGACATGATAAATATGACAGAAACCTTTTCCGTAGAAACCGTACAATGTTGGAGATATTCAAAGCTAGTGAATAAATAAATAGTGACATTTCAGGCACATTTGATGTACATGTTACAGTTGAGCTATCACAGTTTTTGAGTACATGTATTTGTTAGTATTATTATTCCATGTAGATTGTGATGGTCCAATAATAAGCATGGTTCTGAATTACATGTCCAAACTATGGACCTACATGTACATATAAATCCCAACCATGCCAACTACATGTACATGTAAAGCCTACATGTTGGTACATGGTCCTATCATACATGTAGTCCCATTCTGGTTTTAAGATACAGGAATGCATCCATCCAGAAGCATGGCCCCAGAATTACATGTATGTATGCGTGTGTAAAACATTTGTGAAAGCACAATCAATTTACCTCAGTGGACAGGAATGACATCATGCTCCACTGTATACATGTACAGTACAGCATGGTTAGATGGAAAGCAGTGGGAGTTATGACTGCCCCCTCAGTGTACATGTAGATCAGTTTGAGTACCTCCTGATGGACAGGGGAGGGGTGTAGTCTAGCTGACCTACACCAAGGGACCAGTAATTCCTTCTTCTTTCCAGAAATAAACCAACCTTTGTTCCTTTGCTACAAACATTAACAAAATAACAATTTAAGGTCAACATACAATTTGTTTCCGAGGTGCAGATTTCCGTGTGTATGGCAACACCTACAACAGACTGGTTCCGTAAAGACTGCTGGCCACACACTAAATGTCCACAAGGTGGATTCCAGAGGGAATATTTAGTGCTACCAGAAAAAAGTACTGGGATGACGTCACCTGGCGCGTATCAGTGCGCGGTGAAATCCGCCAATGATGCACCATAATTGGCTCATGAATATCTATGAGGTGTGGTAATGTATTGCACTGGTACCGGTACACATATCTTCCTGTCCTGAAATAAATATGATTCGGTTTATCGTTTATGGTTTAAGTGCAAAAAAGCTCCATTGGATAAAATTGTGAACAGTGGACTGTTACTAACAATAGAAGTGGACTGTCACCATAAGTGGTCTATTAACCAAGGTTTTACTGGTTATGATGACTAAATTCTTCTCAAATTTTCCTTGATTTTGCTCAGTCTACCAACCTTCTCTCATTTCTTTTTGCAATCTCTCATTTTCCACTCCAGTTGGTGCCTTAGTTAGTGCTACCAGAAAAAAGTATGGGATGACGTCGCCTGGCGCATATCAGTGAGCGGTGAAATCCGCCAATGATGCACCATAATTGGCTTATGAATATCTATGAGGTGTGGTAATGTATTGTATTGGTACCGGTACACATATCTTCCTGTCCTGAAATAAATGTGATTCGGTTTATCGTTTATGGTTTATATTCAGGAAGTGTACAAAGATGCTGGATACAAGTGTGAAATGGTATCAGGTTTACTGTGAGATGCCCTTACTTTAGTATTGCCAACTGGGCATCATGGGATTGAGAACAAAATACATGTACATGTATGTACAGAACAAGACTTATATCCTTGATCTCAGTGATGCATCATTGCTTACATGTATGTGACTAGGCTGTCTTCTAGCATGGAGCTATTATACACAACGAGTTAGCACAGAGATGAAAAGGGTCAATGATGACCACCGCCAGCGCTGCACATGCTGCAAGGACAAAACAAATTACGCGCCGCGTGCGGGCTATAAGGAATGCTCGGAGTTGCATTTGCAAAGGATTGTGGGTACCGTGCATGCGTGTCTTTAACACTTCCGCACGTTCAACATGGCTGCCATGAGATGGAAACCACCGTCATCAGACACTTAAATTTCGATAATTTTAGTGATTGTTCTGACATTCCAATGTTAAACAAAAGTCTAGTTACGTCTTTACATCCCCAAAACATCTCTCTTAACAATAAACAGAATTAGTAACTAACACAAATTCTCCAAAAATATGCGACAAGAAAATTAAAAGAATGTACATGTAGCTGGTCCAGAGGAAAATCAAAAACACACAAAAACATGGAAAGATTCATTGTCCTTCCTGTCATTGGCCACCAGGCCAGGCATGACATCTTGTCATATTGTCAAATGCATTCCTGTGGCATGTTTCTACCTTCTTTTAACCGTAGGAACAACTAGGATTGTGACTTAAATATAAATATCCCAGTTTATATTTTTGGTATTCTCTACCACCAGATCCGCAAAATGTCATAACTTTAAAAATTTCTGACTTGCGCCAAATAACCACCTCTGATTCAGAATTTTCGAGTGCATCTGTGGGGATCACTCGCTGACTACTGAAGAGAACTGCGCATCTTCTTTGTGCATTTTTCCACCATTTATTTACTCCAGTATGCTGCAGCGAAATACGATGAGTCTGTGGGTTACCAGCTACCCGGCAGTGGTGATCACTATGGACAAAGAATGTCTAGGGTCGTCAACACTGGGGCCAGTAACCGCACTTTGTCTATGGAGCTGACAGGAGCAGTTAATCGGATTATTGTCTGTAGGGACTCTGTTCAAACTCCCTGTGTCTAATAGCTCCATGCTTCTAAGTACATGTACATCTGAGATTTTGACGGGATTACACACGTACTTCAAAATAATCCCCATCTGAAGGAATGTCAGACTTCCAAATAATCCCCTTCTGGAGGAATGTCAGGTCATTGAGGTCATCTACATGTAGTTAAGGAACTTCCAAAGCTCTGCTCCACCTGGAAGTAGAAGTGGGGAGTTGGAGGGAAATGGGCATGTTACATGTATGTCCCAACTTTGCCCATTACCTACATACACTTGAGGCATGCCCAACTACGTTGAAAAAAATGGGAATGCTCAATTATTGTCAGTCAGCAGAATCAATTGCGAAAAAGCTCCACAGAATAAAATTGTGATCAGTGGACTGTTGCTAACATGAGAAGTGGACTGTCACCATAAGTGGTCTATTAACCAAGGTTTTACTGGTTATGATGACTAAATTCTTGTCAAATTTTCCTTGATTTTGCTCAGTCTACCAACCTGCTCTCCTCATTTCTTCTTGCAATCTCTCATTTTTCACTCCAGTTGGTGCCTTTTCTCTTATTTTATTTTTTTATATTTCATTATACTTACTGCCGCCGAAGTTGGGCATAAAAGTGCATATCAGCACTGGATAAAGTAAAGGGCAGTAGTCAAAGTCGGGATTACATTTGTGGCATGTTATTTGCATATGTTGAAAGAGTTCCTTTTTACTTTTTTTTTTTACTTTTTTCCATTAAAATCCAGTGACCATGGCCACTTCTGTCAGTGAAGATGACGAGAAACATTGTGATGAGAGCCATGCTCAAAATCTTCTGGATGGCTTAGCCTGCCTTCGGGCCAATAGTCAATTCTGCGACATAGAGCTGCATATTGGCAAGTCTACGTTCTATGCCCACCGTGCTGTGTTGTCTGCCTGCAGTCCATACTTTCAAAGCATGTTTGCTGGTGGGATGAGAGAGGCCCATCAAGACACTGTAGAGATCCTTAGCATTGAACCTCGTATCTTTCAGCTCCTCCTAGACTTCATATATACAGGTCAGAAGACTGTCACACACAAACTCGCTGTATCCATATTCTTCATCAAACACCATATAGAGAAACTAGCTACATGTAGGCTCTCACATATTAAATGTAATTTTAAAGATGAACAAAGAAGTTGAATGAGGTAGGATTTAAAACTGTAACCACTGGAGTATTATGCAAGTGCTTTACCAACTGAGCTACCCAGTCCTATGTTGGTGGCTTCTCCCAATAAGGAGCATGTACAGTATTCCAATTGCATGTGTCCAAAACTGAAGCAGGTCTGAGATCATTTAGGAACAACAGTACACGTGTGCAAGGTCAGCAATATCAGGCCATCCATACACCAATTCACACACATGCATTGTTCTCGAAAAACCTTGCCTTTGGAAATACCAATCTAGCTTAATGTCAATATCTTTGTCCCTGAGCAAAGATTTTGACAATTACCACCCTTAAAACAATGCACCGTACAAATGCAGTACCAAAGTACTAGATTTACATGTACTTGTTACAATACTTTTCTTCAAGCAAACTTGAATCCCAAATTCTGATTGGTTGATCCATGGCAACAAACAGTGTGATATATAGCTTGATTATATGGTCCATATCAAGCCACATAATGCGGTGTGCTAACTCCACTTACTGCGCCATTTTACGCTAAAAGCTAAATGCACTGCTGCAAAATTCAAAGGTAGTGAATTACATCTCGTGCAGATCCTCAATAAATGCATGCAGTGGCATGGACATTCATTACATTTCCTGGTTCCACTCAAATGCCTGCTGTTTTCAAGGTAGAGTACATCCATAAAGTTCCAATGAAACGTTTTGCAGCTCACTCATCCACAGAAGTTGACACCAAGAAAACCAAATCAATTTATAAAAACACTCTGTGGGCTTACCATTCTGCAGTGGAGTCTTGAAAGCATACATGTACATGTATCTTTCAGACATGTCAGAAAATTAAAAACCAGAAACTTGTGAGAATCTCAAGCCTGGTACACTGAACAACCTACTGAGGCAATAAAAGTCTAAATCAATATCTCAAGACACCACCAATCAACAAGAAATTGGATCTCAAAAGCAATGAATTTCTTGATGTAAATTAGTCCTTTAAAGCAGCGCCACGCACTGCATCCTTGTTACTGCTTTGTGACATGCGCACGTTTGGTTCATTTGATTTTATTCTTGCTTTTCATGAACTCCACACCTACATGTAGGCCCCAATACTATCTTGACTGTGCATCAAATTTGCTTAACCCTAACAGCCCTGAATCCTCAAATTTTAATATGATTTTGCGCACACCCTAGGGAGTTAGGGTTAAAGATAAATTTGTTATCATGCGCGTGCCCATGGAACACAAAATAATGTTGTGTGTCTGTGTCCCGTATACCAAGAGGCCAAAGGCCGAGTGGTATATGGGAAACAGAGGCACTACATTATTCCATATTCCACAAGCACTCGTGATAGCTATTAACAAAATATATGTAGTTGTTTTACTTGCTTGCTTTGCTAGGATGTGTGCACGTTGAGGCAGATACTGTACAGGATCTACTCTCAGCTGCTGACATGCTGCAGCTGCAAGGTGTTATTGCCATCTGCTGCTCATTCTTAAAAACCCAACTTCACCCATCCAACTGTCTTGGAATCCTACACTTCGCACGATCCCATGCTTGTGGTGATCTGGCAACAACCTGTTTGGCATATGCCTGTGCTTACTTTGCTCAAGTGTCAAAGATGGAAGAGTTTCTTGATGTGGATGTGGAGGACATTATGTCTCTGCTTAAAAGTGAGGAACTTCGTATAGACAATGAGTTTGAGGTATTTCAAGCTGCCATGCGATGGATTCTTCATGCCCCTAGTGATAGACGCAAGACTCTTGTAAGGGTTTTAGAGCCAGTACGTTTCCCAATCATTTCTCAGCACCAGCTCTTTGGATACATTAAAGAGTGTTCAGATTTGAGTTTACGGGTTGCTATGGGGAAATTGTTGGAACGCTTTAACCCTGACAAACCTCAGTCTTCATCACTCAGACCTGCTGTTGCATTCTCCAACCCTAGTTTGAGCAGACCACGGCAGAGTGCCAGGAAACATGTGGTGCTTACAGGGGGTTATCGAAGGAACCCTGGCGAACGCTTTGATGACATGGAAACACTGGACTCTGTGGTCAAGTTAGATACCTTTACACAACAGTGGACAACAATGCCAAGCCTACAGCAACCACGACATGGTCATGATGTTGCTTTCTGTAATGGCTCACTCTATGCAATTGGAGGAGAGTGTGATGCCCTGATTAATAACAACGTGGAGATGCTAGACCCTGTCACTAAGCACTGGACTAACATGCCTCCTTTACTCAGCCCACGCTGTGGTCATGGTGTGTGTATAGTTGATGGTGTCATCTTTGTGCTTGGAGGAATTGAAGGAAGTGATGTATTGAAAAGCATAGAGAGATACGATGAAGAAAGAGGGATATGGTGCCTGGCTGGAAACATGACGGAGGGGCGGAGTTACTTTGCTATTATAGAAGTTGATGGTATGTGTAAGTTCCATGTTCACTTTGGACTTGGAAGATGTAATTTCCCCTCGGTGCTTGCCAATTAGCATATAATTGAAAACTGGTTACCTCTTTTTTTCACAGCTTTCCAAAAATGATTTGCTGAGAACACAATGCACCATTTTTAACTTGTATTGGGACATTTTATGTGAAGTATCACAGCTATCATGACAAGTCTGTCAGTGGACTTTTTTTTTTCAATTTGACATCTAGGGACAATTTCCAAATCTCATGGCATATTGCCAGTACTCACAGCTTGTTAACTGCTACATGTATACATGATGCATTGTTTTCTGGACTTTATTTACTTAGGTGTAGGTAGCAAACTGTTTTTTAAAGAAGAATTAACTTTGACCAACTTGATAAAAAAGGTGTGATGTACACATACCTGTTAAATTCCAAAGATATGCTGAATAACACTGAATGCTTTAAGACATTATTGAAAAACTAAACCAGTCTTAACATCATCATTAAACTAAACCCCTAGGCTGTATGTAAAACCATATTGAAATCAGAGGATTTGGGACTGTTCGGGTCAAGTTCTGTTAACAGTCCAGTTACTCAGAGGAACCACTTAATGGCCAAATCTTACTTTGATTGTATGGAAACATCAGTGGCAGAAAAAGCACATACATGCAATGTTGCATAAAGGTTTGGGGTAGCAACTGGGACAAAATAAGGAAGACTGGGAAAAGAAGGAGAACACTCCCATAATGGGAGATGGAATCACCCGTCAACAACTCTTGGCAAGGCCTGTTAAACTACAGTAACTGCGCTCAATTTTCAGCCTTTGTAATGGTTGACTTTCAGAGAGAGTAATGGTATTTCCTCCATTTCTTCTGAAACGACAGCCCAGAAAAATCATCTTATACTGTTCTTATATGCCATGTCTGTTGCTCCTCATTTTACATTCATGTTTGAATACAGGATTGATGTATATGGCTGGGGGATGCACTGATCCCACAAGTGGAGAACTTAAGTCACTGGAGAGCTACAACCCCATTACCAGTGAATGGAACAGTCTTGCCAGTATGAAACACAAGAGATCCCATTGCTGCATGGGGGTGTTAGGGGACAACTTGTATGTTGTTGGAGGGGTCAACAGAGAAAGGAATGTGCTGAGCTCTGTAGAAAGATACTCAATATTAGAGGTAGGTATTTGCTATTAGGCATGCAGATATCTCTCTTTGAATGTGCAGTAACAGGCATCTAATTGTACTAGAGACAATCTTTAAAAAGTTAGCACTTATACAATAGTGTCAAAATAAAAACAGCCAAACAGTACTATCGATCCAAATCAAACCTGGTTGCTTTTTTTAAATGAATGATTGATGTCCGTATACTACTAATTATACAGTAGGTTAATGTGGGCAATTTACAGTGCAGTGCACCTTCGAAAGGTTACCAAAAAGAGGCCATTTTTAGCAGAGCATTGTAGGAAATGGTTGACAAATTCTATTTGCAGTCTGCACTGAATACAGGGAACTTGTTCTTATTGTTTGGGTAGAAGATTTGTAAGTGGTTCTGCTTATCAGTGTAGAAGGTAGTAATTCCTTTTTGAGGCACAGAATGCCCAATCTATCAAACATTTCTTCAAGTTTTCTCCTGACATTTGCTCAAATGAAAATTCCAGCAAGTCAGCTCAAAATCACTCTATGATTGCATCTGAAAGGAGAGTTTATAAGGTTTCCATTTATGCCCCTCTTGCATCTCTGCAATCAGGGATGAATGACCATCATTTTTCAATTTAATTACATTTATTTCCTCCTCGTGGCAAAATACAGAGAACTAACAATGCATGAGATAAATAGGCCACTAGAGGTGGCAAACCTTGAAAGCAAAGCTTGTGTCAGGCATACCATCAGTAGAAACAGACAAGACAGTACAAAGAAATGACAAAATACAAATGGGGAAAACATTAAATATATACAGTGAGCACTTTTGCTTTTCAAACAAAAGGTAAAAACTCTCTTTCGCCAATTTGGATCAAATTCATCCCAGTCACAAGCAACATGTGCAAACCTCCTTTCAGATGTTGCTCAGCTGTGCATGATCAATAATGGTGAGCATTGTGGCTCAACTTGAGCTACATTTGGAATGACAGGGCTAAGGACGTGTCTTTAGACACCTGTAATGGTTACAAGACAGTTCCCCAGCTGACTGTCTTGCTGTCTTAAGATCTACTGAGGGAACTCTTTGAAGACTGAGTGATTGTCTACTGTGGATGGTCACCTGATCTTACTCCTTGCAAGTATTGGCTGTGGGGACATTGGAAGACCATTGTTTTTTACAAGTCCTCCTGATGATATTGCTGAGTTACAGGCTCATATTCATTGTGAAGTCAACATCTTGCATAACAAGACAAAGTGTCCAATGCAGACTTAACAAAGCTCAGATGGGTAATCAGCCTAATTCGGAAAAAAGGAAACTTTTACCTACTGATTAAGAAAATAGTGTTGCTCATTCCTCCCTGTTTGCAAAGATTCAAGTAGGGCTTTGATGGAAAGTGTATTATCTACATGTACCCTCTCAGATGTAACTATACTTATAACGTTTAGCTTTGTAACTTCAATGTACCAATCATTATGTGTTGATTGCATTTTTTCATACACACCGGTACAAGGTTTTAGCTAGGATTGTGGAAAGTGGACATGCAAAATAAAAAAGTGGGAGTGCAACTTGGAGAGTCCAGAATTGTGTAATAATGAGTAAATTTGTCACCGAAACCAAATCTTTAATTTCAACACTTGTGTGGAAATCACACTGCTTTATCAGAGGATACTCTCCCAGTTGGTTTTTGTATTGAAAAAGAGAGGAAAATTCCATAATCATGGAAAGATTTCAACAAATACTTGAGTCTGCCAGGCCCCCTAACAAGGACGTACATGTATGTACTTTGTAATCAGCTCAAAGCATTGTATGTCTAGAAATATAAGAAACAACCATAAGTTTGGAAAGATTTAAGAAGAGCAATACTTCAATCAATCAATTTACAACAACATTTATTTCCATGTTGACATTATTTATAACAGGATTACATTTAGATTTTAATTACATGTAATACACAGATAAGTCAGACTATTAATAATAAAAGCACCGTGTTTAAACTTAACCTAAATAAATGATGCCAACATGAAGGAAAATGGTGAAGCAAAGCTTTTATTCCTTTCCCTTGGACAAGACAAGTCTCATCAAAACAAGTAACGGACATATGGACAGGACAATAGCAGTGAGACCTGATAGTTTATAGAATGATTACATTTCACGCTGAGAATAAAATGTTAGCTTTGTTTTCTTCAGGTTTTTGGCAAAGGAAACCACAATATTACACTCTTTAAATTTAACATCAAGCTCATTCCAATATGTAACACCACATTCAAATGAACTCTTTCTGAAAAATGATGTTCCGTTTTGTCTCACAGAAAGATCACCTTTTAATGAACTACATATCCCTTGTAAATAAAGAGAGGCTGTAAATCATCATAGATCATCCAACACTTGTGGGATATATTTAAACATAAATACTCCCAGGCGGAGATGATACAGATCATGTAGTTTCTAGATATTTAGTCTACCAAATAAAGGAGTAGTATGATCTAAGTAACCTGCATTGGTAACAATATGAATAGCTTTCTTCTGCAAAACAAAGAGTTTGTTAAGGCCATGCATGGCTGACAACCCTCCCAATTAAATTAAGCCATCATTTAAATGATGAAGAATAAATGAGTTATGTAATGTTAACAGAACAGAATCGGTAAAAGATGTTTCACATGGTTCATGATTCCAACATTTGGGATATTTTACAACATGTGACTTCAGTGTGGTTATTCTGAGAGAGGTTTTCATCCATGTAAAGACCGAGGAATTTAGTGATTTTGACTTGATTAAGAACAGTGCCATCAAAGGTACAAGAAACTGTGGCTTGATACTGGAGTCTGTGATGCCATCTTTTGACGCCATCTTTAACTTACAAGGATGTATTCCGTGCATCAAATTGTACTTTCTGTAATCAGCCTAAAACATAGGACACAATCCAGTATTTTCTCTCTTCTTGTAGGAAAAGTGGCAGAGTGTAAAACACATGTCTACAGCCCGGGCTGGCATGTCTGTGGCAACTGCCAATGGATTGTTGTATGTCATGGGAGGCCGTTCTTCCGGCAAGAGCACCCGTGCCCCTAAGACGTTGGATACAGTAGAGTGTTATGATCCACGGACCAATTCTTGGATTGATATGGGAAGGATGCCCACAAGCCGATGCGAGGCTGCTGTCACTATTATATGACAACTCAAAAATGAATCTGAAATTGGCCTTCAATTTTGTCTCAACCCAGAATAGTCAGTCAGCTGATGTGGCCTGTTAGAATCAGAATTTGAAGCTTTTTCAGACCAACCACTTTTTTCCAGTCTGACTATTACCTTCTCAACTTGATGCTGATTTTTGTGTTTAATTTACGATTATTTAAATTTATATTTAATATAGATTGTGCATGTATTTGTGAGTTGATGAGCAGGTACTTAGGGAAAACTGTGAAGAGAAAAGAAGATAATGTTTCACTTGGACACTTCCCGCTTTCATTTGTGTCTAAAAAAGAATTACTGTTTTGTCATGTTCTGCCATGATGCCGTCTGAATATCAGGAAAGTTTATTGAGATGTACTGCACGTGAAGATGCAGTCCTTTCAATCACAGCTCGGTGAGTCAAATTGTAAGACATTGCAAAACTAGTCACAAATAAGGGCTATGAAGGCAAAAACAATAACAAAAGACTGTAAGAAAAATCTTTGTTGTACTTCTTTTCAAAAGCTTCAGATTTGAATCTTGATGGACAATTTATGGGCTGATGACTTCAGATAGCTTGATTGCAACTGTTGACATAGCCTTTGCCTATTTAAAATGTTTTCATTTGCAATATTAGAAGGTTTCCAAAGTGCACAGCACATAGAGTTTATATAATTATATACAATGTAAATAACTTTCAATAAAATTGATCTGGGTGATATTACAAGCGTCTTTGCTGCTTGCGTTTTTGAATGTGGTGTCTTTTTTTCCTTTCTTTGTTTTATTGATCAAAAAAACAAAACAAGCATACATCAGAAAGTAAAAGCACGAATAATACAAAATTAAAGAAATTGGAAAAACAGGAGATAATTAGAAAGTATAGAAGAGGGGGCCATGAAGAGATAGATGTAGAAAAATGGGCACTGTACATGTGAAATGATGGCATAGGGTCTACAGAATTAGAATTAGAATTTCCATTTTTTTATAAGGAAGACTAAGGGTTTGATTTTTCATAGCAATCTTCTACTCTGTTATACCGATTCTGTAAAATAATCTTAACCCCCAAAAGCAAGGAAATTGAATCTGGAATTTACATGTATATAATAACACGTGGTACAAAGAAAAACATTTATTATGGGGAACACCAAAAAAGAATTCGAATTTCCTAAACTGAAGAGGGTCTTTGAGATTTTGATTGATAAAAGACATGAGGTCAGACAAGATGAGTGAAACATGATCACACTCAAAAATGGATCGAAGTTTTGGGACATTTGTCACAAAAAGCAGAGTTAGGAGAATCTTTTCTTCCAATTTGAAAAGAAAGTTATTAAAGGCAACAGCCCCATGAAAACATCCTAAAATAAAAAGTTCTTGATTTGGTTTCAATTGTATATTTAAAATTATGTGTATGAATCACCTCAAAATGTTCATCTTTAAAGTTTATATTTAAAGTACTATTCAAAAAATTTGTTTGTTTTTCGGGGGTGACTTTATCAATCATATTGTAAGTATACTCAGAGATATTCTCAGGACATGAGAAGGTTATTTTTTAACACAGTCACTGTATCATCACCCTTCATTTCCTTATCAAAAAACAATCACGAGGAATACAATGAAGTAAGGTGTTATACTTCCGTCTTTAAAGGAAATGTCATTCGATCATGAGTTCTTCAAATAAAAGAACACTAGGTTTAGGTTCATTTAGAAACTCCTTTACACAAATTATACCTTTCTCATACCACTGTGGGAAATAAAAGTATGGCTTTGATTTAGAACGAATATGTCTACTAAGCCAAAGAATTTCAGAAAATGAGAAATCACATAATTTGAAACCCATATCAATAAAATCCTTATCCTTAAAGAAGTTCCACTTCCTAATAGAGTCTGCAACCTCAGTGTTTTCTTATTTTTTCCAAAAGATTCTCAGGAGGATTAGATTTCCACAAAATGTCTATATTAGGACGAAAATTAAAGAGTCAGTTCTATAGCTTTCCATAAACTGTCATAAGAATCATCAAGCAGCATTTTAACTCTTGAATGTGAGGTCTTATTATTTTGGTCTCGATATAAGTGGCTCCGAAGATGTTAACCACACACATTACCTTTGAAGGGAGGGGTTTGGAGGGATTAGACCTACAGCATGTAATAGTCCGAATAACACGCAATTCCAATGAATATGGGTGAACGGTCTCGTCGTTGGATGCTTCAGAGTTCAGCCCATCTTTCCAGATGTTTTGTGCATTCAGAATGCATTTGAAGAGTGTGATATGTTCTGATAACAATTATGTAATGGCTGTGACCGACCACATACCTGTTACTACTAATATACAGTACACGTATAACCAACTTCTGAAAACAGAGCGTCTCTTCCTAATAATGAATTACAACAACAAAGTAACAGATAATAATTCCACATTTCTCTTTGACGACTTCGTTTTAAAGAGGTGGTCAAAGGTTTGTTTACGGACACTGCCAATCTTCTCCTGGCGGAGGTTCATCAGTCGTGTACGAATTATGTTCCAAGTACCTGTACATGTACACATGTACATAATTACATAATTTCAGCCACTGTACATGTACAAGCGTGATGACACGTACCACGTTAAATGACACACGTCAGTACGCATGTAATTTAGGATAGCTTTAAGTTTACTGTTTCCTCCTTTCGGCCCAGAAAGGTAGATGTTAAGGGCACTCACCCCAATGCAGCCCTATTCAATCAGAGAGCAGGTCCATTTTGTGCTATTCTTGCTGCTAAATGAAATGCCCGTCGACTCACTCTATATCCAAGGGCTGATCCATGACCAAATTTTTGGGGCCACCACTTGTTTTGTAGGAGCCAAAAAGTCGCATTTTCTCTCATTTCTCCAAAAAGGGCTCTTTTTGAAACAGGTAGAGGTGTTGTGGCCCTTACGGAGAGCTGCAGTTGGGAATCGCTAGACGCGGAGAAGAAAGCAAGGACGGGTCTAGCAATTTTGTTGCGTACAGGTCAACACAGGTTGTTCATTACATCGTTACTGATGTAAGTGACAAATAACCCTCAAGGATGCCATCTTTTTAGTAGTGCTAAAATTGCTATCTCGTGGTGTTTTTTTTTGTCAGAGTGGGGATTGACCCCCTTCCCTCGGGATCCGGAGAGAAACCATCACCAACGTATTGTAAGGGATCAGAATTTTTCCGGCTAACAGATCTTCGAAACGGGAGGTTTACGGACGGGACGCTATCTGAAAGTGATGCTATAATTGACGACAATACCTTAGATGCTTTAAACGTAATGGTTTATGCATTCTGCGTTCTTCATCCTACGGTTCATTTATTAATCTATATTTATCAAGTTTTCCGATTTTTCAAACCTTATTTTTATTTATCCGTTTATGTCTTATTAAGTGTAAAGAAGTATACTTATCTTTAAATACCGCACCTGTTTTGGTTTATGCTAACGAACTGAAGAAAACTTAATGTGTTCAGGTTCCGGGTTCTTAGAAAAAAAAACAGGAGTCGGGCGTTTTATTTTTGTTATTTTTATGTTTTAAGATGGCCGCCATTCTTTTGTAAATTTCCAGCAGTAATTAGTGTTCCCACTCTTCCCGTACCAAAAATGGAAGAGGCAGATTGGACGAAAGGTTCGAAAACATTTGGTGTTTTATTTAATTTACAAAGTTTGTAACACGGTTTCACAAGAAATCAGAACAGTCGCTTCCGCGCGTGTAATTTGCAGCAGTACTAAGTAGGCCTAATCATGTTATTTGGACGCGGTCTTTATGAAGTCAAAATGATCGTAGTGAGGATATAACGGTCGACTTCATGATGTGAAAAGTCACTGACAGACTCATGAGATAGAAATTCCGACTCACAATTTTTCCGATGGATTGGTTGGAAGTCTTGGCGTTGTGAGGGAGCCAGGGCGCTTGCCCCTTCCCAGGAACAAAACGAAAACTCTAAAGGATGAAATGCTATGCAAAACGCCGATTTGCTTGAAAGTAAGACCTTTCAATTGACCCCCCAGCCGTTAATTTAGCCCCCTAGAGATTCCCCGATAAGAATTTTTGCCCCCCCCCAGCCCTGGATACACCCATGCATACGATGACCAGATGCCGACTCATCACAAGGAATGGATGCCAGTAAGTAGTCAGCTGTCAAAATATTTCTTTCACGTGCATACATTGACAATACTATAGTCCATCAGATTAGTTTCAAGTCAGCGAGAGCTGTAGCGATGGAATAAACACTAAATAAGGAGAATTTGTCTGATATCAAGTCATCATCTGTGATACCAAATCAAGGATCTGTCCTTAAGCTTAGTGTCCTTTGAATTTGCAATCTGATCAACAACAGTCTGCTAAAGATGACACCTTGGAATATACGGGGGTGGACAGTTCAGGTCATTTGTCTTCATACTGTGCCGGAGAGAGCTACCGTAAATGTAGAATCCTGGCTCGTCAATTCCCATATCCTGTAGATCAATAGGGGACCTGCAACTCTGCTTGTCTTGCAATAACCTGGGCAGTATCATTGCTTCCAACTTCCAAGTAACGACTACACAGGACCTTGGGGCAGGCTTGATCTTCTGTCCTTGCAATGCTCGTGAATTATTTGTAACAACTTACAACCTCGCATTCGTCAGAGACCTCCCGGCGCAGGCCCACACGTCAGTACAGAAAAACATGGCCAGTTGTTCCAAAATTGTAGAGTTTTCTCCGTAACTCTAACAAGGAGGTTATCATCTTCAATTCATCTTTCCATGAAAATTGAACATGTCAGGGATAAACAAAAATAGCAGTAGACACTTTCACCAAACGACGGGGATTGGTTCTTAACAAATCAGTGGGAAAATGCTGCAATTTTTTAATGCAGAGTAAGTTGTTAAAATTTATCTGTTTCATTTAATGTTGCCTTCATCGTTCTTGTGTGAAATTAAACTGTGTCAAGTCTTGACAAATCACAGACTTTAATATGAAAGTGAATCGTGAGCTCAAGAAGCTTCGATTGCAAATCAAAATCAAAGCACTCTGCCTGTCAGATTCTGGATGGCCGTTTTATTCATGTACTGTATCGTATGCGCAAATCCAGGGAGTGAAAGGTATGTAATATTCCCCTGTTTGACAATGTGAATTACAGGATGAGTCCTTGGTAATTTCCTGCTTTTTGGGTGTTGAAAAGCACAAAAGTTCGCACTTTTAGGTTTCTTTTGAACTTTTCAACAGTCAAAATAGAGAACAGGCACCTCTATCACCCACTCTACCCTGCATGGGTTGACTGTCTTGATAACTGTTCAGGTGCTGAACACCAATTTCAGAAATTTGCTGTTCCAGCCATCGGACCATACCTGAAGATTCTCCGAATTAATCGGAATATTTTGGTCTGGAAACTTATAGAGTCGGCTTGCCAACTCCGCTTGTACCGTAAATGCTTTAAGACAGTACAGTTACGAAAAGAACATTTGGAAATGAAAGAACAGTTTTTCGAAACTTTTTCACACATGGGGCATATAGTGAGTTCTAGGGTGCGATGTCTGTTACGTGGGATTCTTAAAAAGCACTTTAACAACATGACCATTCAGAGAACTAGCTCGAAGTGGTCTCCCCAAGTTCTTGGCTTCATATTAAAGTGTATTATAAACAGCATCAAAGGTGGATCCGTCCATCGTTATATAAAGTGGTAGATTTTTTAAACAGATGTCGAACGTTAACAATATCTTGACACTTTCATTTGTGGTTCTAGAGC